AGCGAGAGACGGGTTTGACATTGAGTTCTGCAGGCTAGGTAGAATTTAGATGACAATAGCATAGACTCAGGTAGGAAAAGAAGAGTGAGTTGAGGAAGAAGGGAAAAACATTTAGTAGATCATTGTTATGCATTTTTCGGAAAAGGTGCACTCTGTCAGAGGTAGAGTTTTGATTCGTGGATTAGCCGGTGAGTTTCATCTTGTTCCGTGGCCATTTCTGTATCCTTAACCCGCAGTGTCCCACCTTAACCTGCAGTGTCCCACCTTAACCTGCAGTGTCCCATCTTGAAAATGCTGGTTGTGAGAATGACCAGGTCAGTAAGTGGCTGATTTACTGCGAATCTGTTTCTGCTACTGAAAAACCAGCTCACACACTGGTAAGTCAGTAATATGATTTTCAGATGTACAGGACAAACATTGAAAAGTTTTTTAAACTAATTTTTTATATAAACTTGACATTCCCTCACTGTAAGTGCTCAGCATACATTAGCCAAACGTTTTTTCAGCTGGACAAGTGTCGTGGGAAACCTGGATGTCTTTCTGAGGATGGCTAGCCCCAAAGTGTCATGAATAAAGTTTTTCTTTGTCTTTGTCTTTTAAGAGAGTACTTTTGTGCACGTTGGATCACGGGACCCATTGCCCCTGAGTGCTGTCCTTTGAACACATGAGGCTGAGTAGTGAGTTTTCCATGGGCTTTTAATGAGCTATTGCTAGGTAGGTTTCTTCACCCCATCTGGGAAGGCCTGCTTCACAGCCATCTCATCTCTTGCCAGTTTATCCACCACATCGCACAGTCACAGTTGTGTTCGGTAAGACTGAGTTGCAAGGTTTTTACAACTCTGACTTCTCGCTTCTCCAGTCTCTAGGACATAGTACTTGATGCATCTGAAGGTGTGTACAGGCAATAGCAATAGCTTATCCGTTTGCCCTGAAACTACCCTTTTTATCCTTTTTCTCGTCAGTCCTGCTACTCTGAAAGGTTCTCAAGCCCAGCAAACTTTAGTGTCTGTATTAGAAGAAATAGTTTTGACTATAACTTCTGAGAAAAATTAGAATATGTCTGAAGCTCCACAGGTTAAGCCACATTCGGTTGAATTAATTTGGTGAACACGCTCCAGCTAATCCTGATCTATCCACCTTAGTTTTGTATCGCTTTGGTTTGGATCCTCCCAGAAAAGAGAACAAAAATTTCATTGAGAAAGAAGATACTATGAAATGTGGGGAAACCATGAAGGGAATTTTACAATGAAAATAGTATTTAGTGGTACCATTATCTGTTAGGCTTCCAAAAAGCATCTCCATTCTAGAAGTGAATATTGATTTAGAAGTTTCTTTCTCTAAGAGTGTTTTCCTACTTACAGTAAAAATAATATCAATAAAATTTAGTGAGTACTAAACTTGGATTTTAAAATAAGAGATTTTAATTATATGGTCCGAAACACCAGAGTTTCAGCATTATATATGATTGAGTAAAATGGGATTGTATATTTTTTGATCATCAGATGATAGGAGAAATATTTAAATAACTTAAAATTATTTTCAAAAAGCAGAAGCTTCCACCTCACGGGCTTATCCTGTTGAGAGAATATGAGGTCAAAGCTGATGGAGTTCCTGTGCTACTTGGAGGGATGACTGGGCGGTACCACAGAGGGCTGTGTCCTTGAATGTAAAGGTGTCATTCTATCCCTGTACTCTCCCCTCCCCCCACTTTAAAATCAAGGCCAGGGAATATTCTTATGAGATTGAATGTCATCATTAAACAGATGAGATAAATCATATGCATAGTAAACTGCTTTTGGCATTCATGGGACTAGGTTGGTTCTTAAGTGTTTTATGGAGATCAGAGTATCTAGACCCAGACAGGAGACTAGTTTAACTAGTTTAATTAAGGACCGCCAGGGTATGCTCGCCTCTGTGGCTCTGCCCAAAGGAACTAGCAGGCTCGTTCCCTCTCCCACATCATATATCACCTTTGATCTAATAAAATGTCATCCTTGTCAGTAAGTAATGTTATCAAGTTTGGCTTTTTACCAGGTGCTCCACGAGTCATCATCATTGTGTTGTACTTGTAATGGCTCCAATACAGGAAAATGTATTAACCTCTCTATGATAAGAGTAGCTAAAAAGTAGATTTCTTAAGGCCTTTGTGACTCTTAAACCTCTAAGCTCACTGACCGTGCTTTTTAAGTAGCACGATTCTCAGAAAAGATCCCAGAGCTGCTTCTAAGTGAATTAGTAGTGTTGTCGAACTGGGGGAAGGAATTTCATTCATTCATTCATTCATTCATTTTTAGGTGAGGCAGTCCTTGGTTGACCTCACAGATTGCGAGGACCTTGTCATCTTACAATCCCTTATTTTTTATTTTTTACGCCTACAGCACCTGTCTTCCTAGGTGGTCTCCCATCCAAGTACTGGCCAGGCCCGACCCTGCTTAGCTTCCGAGATCAGACGGAATCGGGCTTGTTCAGGGTGGCATGGCCATAGAGGAATTATCTTTAGATTATCTTAAATTCTGCTACTGGTGACTTATCAGCTAAACAGTCTACTTGATTATCTAGTACCTTACTGGTTCTATATAGCCGTTGCT